AGACTAATCATTAAAAAAATCAGATTGTATCGGGAGCCAAAAAATCTGGATCAGGACATCCCTAGAAGGAACTACCACAACAGGCTTTGACATGGCAATCTGTTTTCTTAAATTAATATTTGTTTTGTTGAGAATGAGCTGCACAGGATTGGTAATTTGGTGGTCATTATTTTTCTTTTGATAAGTGAAATATAAATTTGCCAGTTGCAGACTGAACACAACCATTAATACGGCAGGGCAGAACGATGAGCAGATCATTTTGTATCGAGGCCCAAAGTTAACTTATAATGCAGCTGAACATCTATAGAGAAAAGTTTGAATGATTATGAACTGGCATCTAAAGCTTGTAGGCTACAATCTCTGATTTTTTTATGCAAGTAGCATATTTCTCAGTGCCAATGCTTGGCACGTGTGTACTTTTTTTCTGAACTGTGACCAAGAGAAAAGGCGTATGATGGATCTTGGCATTTAGAAGTAGCTCAGCTGAAATCTACAGGCTAATCTAGCTGGAGTGGAGAAACGGTCTTCTGTTGCTGTAGCAATATGAAAATGTGTTTTGCACAGACCTAATTTGATTTAAGAGTGAGCTATTTTAGACTGGCTAGTTTAGCTCTGACATGTTATATCACTAAACAGCTCTCCTTATAACTCTGCAAAACCAACTGTTAATCTTATACTGAAATATTTTTGTCCTACAGATAAAAAAAATACAGGGTTCATTCCCATTGTGCCTTCAGAACTGCCTTGATGTAACTGTCCTAGATTTGACGAGTTTTTAGAAAAAATTTTAAGAGATTTTTGTCTATACTGACATGTACGCATCATTCTGTTGTTGCAGCCAAGCTTCTGTTCCAACACAGCCAAGAGGTGCTTGTTCAGATTGAGGTCAGGTGACCGTGGAGGCCGTTGGAGTTCAGTGAATGAAGTGCAGGAAATGTTTTTTCCAGTTTCTGATCCAATGTCGGTGAGTCTGTGAGATGTGTTGCCTCAGTTTTCTATTCTTAGCTGACAGGAAGTGGCACCCGGTGTGGTCTTCTGCTGCTGTAGCCTGTCTGCTTCCAGGTGTTGTGTGTTCAAAGATTGTATTCTGCTCATCTTTGTTAGTAATGAGTGGTTCTTTAAGCTACTGTTGCCTTTCTGTCATCTCAAACCAGTCTGCCCTTTCTCCTCTGACAATAACTAAGTTTGTTTTAGTCCAAACAAATGCTGCATTAGATATTTTCTCTTTTTTTGGACAATTCTCTTTAAACCCTAGAGAAGGTTGTGTGTGAAAATCCCAGTAGATCGTCAGTTTGTGAAATAATCAGACCAGCCCGTCTGGCACCTACAATCACGCCACATTCAAAGTCACTTAAATCCCCATTTCATCCCCATTCTGATGATGGGTTTGAATGTCTTCACCATGTCTGCATAAATGTATTGATTTACTGCTATGTGATTAACTCATTAGCTATTTTAACAAGCTTAATAAGGTGGTCAGTGAGTGCATATAAGCTCTCATCAAAACTAAAATAACATAAAACAAATTATAAAGGCATAATGAAAAATTGAGTAAATAACAGTTGTGCTAGCAAAGTAGCCTCTCCCCTTAAGATTCATTAATAAAAAGCAGCAAATTTGAATTTATTTGAAGCTGTGTTTTCATTTGAAGACCCTGAGAGCCAGATGGAGGGAGTTCAAAAGTCGAAGTGACGTGCTAAAACTAAAGGGATAGATCAAGTAACTTTAGCATCGATGCAGTCCGTGACTGCTTAATGTATTGCATTTTTCTGTGGATTCTGAGTCATCTGGGACATGGAAAATTAAAAGAAAAAAGATGAAGCAACTGGAATTCTGTTCTGTGGCTGAAGAGGTGTGGAGCTACAAGRTTTGAACAACGTGACTCAAAGTTAGTGGATCAATCCGTTCACCCCCACCTCAGATAAAGTCAGATGAAATACAAGCATTCAGACTCACATTGAAAAACATCAGATATGTATCTGATTCAGTACCACATACTGAAAAGAACTGGGTCGGATTTGAGACAAAGAAAAATATGATTTGTCACGTTCAGACTGTCATGAAAAATCCAACACCTTCTGCCCCATTTTGCATACATTATATGCCGGTTGCAGAGCAAATTTAAATTGCAGTTGCAAATAAAAATTAAATGGCCATTTTATATGTTCTATATTGTTCTAAAATAAAAGCATTGCATAGTCATAGTTTGTTTTTGGTTTTATTCAACATACAAAAGCAAAGCATTGAAAAGAGGACTGTTAAAACACTGGATCAATAAGCAATATCTTTCACCCCTGTTCTGAGCTGCATCTGACAGCAACTCGTTTTGACGCTGTCTCTTTAAATGCAAATGAGGCGCTTCAGACCCCGCCCTCCTCCAGGGCTCACCCCACTGATCGTTGTCCATTCTAAACCGTTTGGCCATTTTTGTTGTTTGACAGCAGAGATACAATTATCTAGCAGCACAGAAACTTTTTTTATTTACAAATTAGAAGATGTCAACAAGGGAAGACTTGTCCATCCAGACTTACAATTCAGAGCCAGAGTCTGACCCAGAATGAGAGGAGAATTAAAATCGCTGTGAGACATAAAAATGGTGGATTTGCTAAATTTGTTAGCCGGTAATCCATGACCATGTTCAGCAGTTCTGCAGCAAATAATTTTGACGTTATTGTTCAAAAAAAAAACGTAAGGGAGTGGAGAAAACTGAATGTACTGAAAAATATGACCAATACAAAATATAAAGATGCAGCACCCAGAGAGACTAGATTCAACTTTTCTGCACTCCTAGAGACTCCAAGTACACAACTAAACATATTTAAGGGCTTAGAAAAGTTGATTTTGTGTGATATGTACTCTGTGACATCTACACTGCCTGACATAAGAACAGATACTTGCTTCCTCCATGGCCCCACCCGCCCTGAACTCAAACTGTTAAGCTCACGGTAGCCTCAGGAAGCAGGCGAGGCTGTATCCGGGCAAGAATATCCCAACTAAAAAACAGCTTCTACCACGAAAATCAAGACTGCTGAACTGATCAGGAGGACATTTCAACAACTTTCCTAATGTTGCAAAGGAAATTTTTACAGATACTAACGCACATATGTAAAATTAGCTATTTCAGGTATTCAAGGTCAGCCTTTAACTCTAGACCAGGGGTGGGCAATCATGATCCTCGAGGGCCGCAGTCCTACATGTTTTACATTTTTCCCTGCTCCAACACACCTGATTCAGTCACTGAACTACCTTTTCCAAGTTCTGCAGTGTGGAGGACCCAAACTGACATCATTAGAAATAAAAGCAGAAATAGATAAATGAACCTTTAAATAAATAAATACATTTAAAATGCACCAAATAAATTAAAAAGGAGAACTTTACCTCATGTTTTATAATTTAATTGACCATATTTATTTTTCCAGCTTAGTTCCAATAAATTTATATTTTAACACATAATTTAAAT